TAATTTATGGTGGAGCCTTGGGTGAAGATAGTAAAGTAGCAATTGAAGGATATGTTGACTCTGATTATGCAGGTTGTATGGATTCCAGAAAATTTATCTCTGGATATGTGTTCACTATGTTTGGGATAACAATCAGTTGGAAAGCAACACTTCAGAAGAAAGCTAGTTTTTTGAAGTTATAGAGTTAGATCCAAGGTGGAGATTTGTGAGATGTTGGATCGAACTCTAGTATGGTCGAAGTCTGTTTGCGAGTAATGCGTATTGTAGTCGAAGTTTGTTTTAACATGCATTAATCAATATTGCTAGGCTTGTTAGCATGTTGAATTTGGCCTTGCTTGTAAGCCAAATTGTTTAAGTTAGCTTGTACCCTAAGTTAGCTTGTAATGGGTAATTGTTAAAAAAATCCTATTAGGTTAGTGTGTTATTTTTCTTATAAATAGAATACTAGTTTCTCAATCTTGTCATAAGGAAAAATAGGAAGATAAAATCCTAATTTCAAGAGAGAGAGGTTATTTTGTTATTCTTGTATACTTGTAATCTTGTTCTAAGAGAAAGGAAAGAATAGCAGTTTAATAACCAATCCTTGTTGTTTTCTTCTTTATTAATCTTAACCCTCGTGTGTTTCTTAATCATTAAGAAACTATTTATACTTAGTTTGAAGGTATCCAATTCACAACAGGTACAACAAATTATTATCAAACCAAACACTAAAAGCCTAACGCTTTAGCAAACACTGATCTAAAACAATAACTATTTCTATTGATGCAAATTACTCAATAGCTAACATTCAAGATCTTCAATCATCTTAATTCACCTAACTTGATAGACCCAATGACCTACTTCATGCATCCATTCTATAACATCCTTTACTCGGATATGGCGAAAACTTGTCTGAACGATTGTTCTATCACCAGACGAGGACAATTGCCAACTTTTTTCTGTAGTAACCTTTACTCGGATCCACCAAAGTCTTCCTTAGAGTATAAGTAAAACTCTTCTCTTACATGATAAACACCAATCATCAAAGTGAACAAGAGATGATTCTTTATTCTAATCCAAACAACAAAACTTCATACTAAGAACATTAGATTTCCTAATGTAACTCGATCTAACTTTCACATTCAGTCTTTAGAGTTGAGACCCATTACAATGGTTTCTTGGTATAAGGTTGAAAATGATTAATAATATCTAAAGAATATCTCACAATAAAGCTAAATAATTTTCATACTCTCAATATTCTAGGAGGTTTCTTACAAGGTTGAATTTCAAAAATAGTTGGTTGGTGAATGATGAATTAACTCATGATTTCTATCAAGATTCTTGACTCATAAAAGATTGGGCTTAGATGAATTATATGGATTTTCAAAATAGAAACGTTCGATGGATTATCAAGAGGTTTCTCTCCATTATGATCACCACTCACTATTGTGGCGCCATCTCAATTAAGTTATCATCAATCTTTAATTGAGTTTAATCACTCTTTCAATGAGAGAGAACTGTTAGGTGTGAATATGAAAGTAGAAAAATGGTATAGAAGGAATGTGTTCGCCGTGAAAATTGGTGAACAACCACTGATTTTACAAATCAAAAAAAGATCTGTTTTACTTGCAGGATCAATCACACAAATCCTATGACATGTGCTAATTGATCTTAAATGAAGTTTATAAAAACTATGAACACTTCGACAGAGTTCATGATAAAGCAAATTATTTCAAATGTAAATGAATTTAAGTGACAATAAGTGAAATCGAAATACTGGTAAATTACGAAGATAAGAACTTGCATAAAGAAAGAATAAATTCTTAAAGAAAGAGATTCATCAAATTGCATTGAAATGAAAAACTGGTGTTTAGTCAACGTACATTCTTACAAACTCGCTTCTTTCAACACACAAATACTTGGAGTATACTGAAGAATTTGTACACAACTGAACACGCACAAACACATATCAACACCAAGACCTGCTATTTATAATAATCAAACACAACTGCCATTAACGACTAAAAAACAAAATCAAGACAAGTGTTGCTATGCATGTTGCAACACCCTTTTCTACCCCACAATTAAAAGGCACATTTATTCACATATATCAAAGTAAAATGTTAAACTAAAAAAAATCACCTTAAAATGGCGTACATTTCCCAATAAATCAAAATAGGTCAAGGCTCCATAAACAACGAGTTTTCCCAAAAGAGATCAAAAATTGCACAAAGGCAGCGGAACTCAAAACACATAATCCAAAGTTTTCCTTATACGGGAAGATAATCAAAATAACTCAATAAAACATGGTTTAACTCAAAGACCCCAATCCGATGTTACACTACCAGAGCAAGACCCTCTAAGTTAACCAAAAGGCCAACAACTCAAAACTTCAAAAGTCCTCAACGACATCCGCAACTAAACCAGGTCATATGTACGTTACCCGCGAGGAGACAACATTCAAACAGACAGGGTGAGTAAAACAATTCATAATAATCAATATGGGAAATCAACATATAAATGGCGTCATTTTCATATTCAACACCATCATATTCATCAAAGGCCATAACATCATAATTTACTCAAAATCATCTCATAAATGCAAATGCAACAAGACTCAATGCATGTGGTACCAATCATCACAGCTCGATGGACACTGGGCCATCAACCCTCCATAAACCCCCATCAATAGGATCGATTCTACTCGAGAACCGGAGCACATCAAAATACCTCACATCCACACAATGGGATTGAAGCAAGTAATCAAGGTCCTGAATCGAAATCCGGATGCATATGAATGCATGATGCACACGTCAATAATCATCCTCATAATAACATCATAGGTGCATCATCATTCATTCGTAATCATCATCGTCAAACATCATATCATCATATAATCATCAAAACTCATGGAAATATCATTATAGTTCATCAATCATTACATCTTAGGAATCATCATATAATCACGTATACATCACATAGAATTCACAGTCATACTCATGTTAATTCATCACAGAAACCACAGCATCAAAACATCAAGGTATTGCCGCACAAAATCAGCATTTGTGAAACTCTGCTACGTTCGCTAGCAAGTTCGCTAGGCGAGTCTGGGGCTTGTTTCTTCGTTGTGCGAAGGATTCTTCGCAGTGCGAGTCTGGGACGAAATCGTTCGCTGTGCGAACAACGCGATGACATCAAAACACTGTTATGCACCAGAACCTAAAATCAACCCAAAAGCCCCACGATTCACTTCCCTAATGCCCCTAAAACATCCCTAAATCATCCTTAAGTCATCCTTAAGGTCTTACGGCGATAAAGGCACAAAACCTATGGTTTCTTAGGCCAATCCCGTATCATATTCACGCACTAAATCCCAAATTTCCTTACAATTACCCCATAAACATTAGAGTTACTCACTATCTAATTTCTCTACAGGGTTAGACAAATGTCAAATCAGAGTTTTGGCCACGAAGACCTAATTTCCCTTTCACCCAAATTAATCCCCACGGTTAAAATCTCAACGATAGGTTTAGGCCACGAAGGCCAAATTCCCTTTTCCTCATAATCAGCCTCAAAATCCTTAAATCCCTTAAATTGACCTTAAATACATTGAATTTACACATTGAAAACAATGAAGGTAATATACTCCCCATACCTTAATTGTCGACTCAAAGCCTTCTCAAATCTTTTAGAAAACCTTTCGAAACTTTTGCCTCAATCCTTCTTCCTCAGAGCTTTGGCCTCAAATATTTTCCACGATCTAACAAATGAATCCTAATCCCAACACAATTTCCTTTTTGTTAAACCTAACCTTAGGCCTCAAAATTGGGCTTTTCCAATATTACCCTCACTAACTCCTCTCAATTGTCCAATTTGCCCTTAGTTAGCTTATATTTATTTTAATTAATAATAATATTAATATATTCATATTATATACTATTATTCAAAATAAATAATCTAAATTCCATTAATTTCTAATATTCCACAAAACCACCGAAAATCGCAAAAATGCGAATATTCTTATTTAAATAAATTAAATAAATATTACAATAAAATTTGGAGTGTTACACATGTCTTCGAATCATAGGGGCGCTCCACGTGTCTTTCTCAAAAATGAACTTTCCCTCTTTTATTTGAATTCAAATGAACTCGTCGAAATACCCTTCTCAACGCTTTTGTCGAATTGAGTCTTTCAACTGCTGATGAATATCTCTAAGTCCATAACATAGACTCTCCTGGCGAAAGGACACATTCGACTCCCATTGTGAAACACGACTCCAGTCGAAGTAATTAGATTTTTCCAGGAACTCTATTTGTTACTTTTAATTTCATTCAGGCGTCGAAATTAGAAGCCAGCAGAGTGAATAAATCCAAATAAAATTCAACTACTATTTTTTTAATAAAAAAATCACGAGTTCCCTAAATTGTTACTCCTCACCCACATTATAGGCTACATGAGATAAGTTACACAAATTACGGGTTTCAAACCTAGACCCATTGAGCGAATCAATATGAATAATTTTCTCATAAACTTTATACACTCTCCGTCTCATAATATGTGTTATTTTTTCTATTTTTATTTGTCTCAAATTATTTATCCTTTTAAAATATTAATGTAATATTTATTATTTATTTTTATTAATTTATTTTGTATTTTAAATCATGTAACTATTTAATATTTATTATTAATTAAATTATTTTAATAAATAATATATATTTTATCAATAAAATCAAAACAATTAATCATTATCAAAAAAGTGAAATATATCTATTATGATATTTTATAGAAAGATATAGAAAGATTTGGGAGGGAGTACGGAGTTCGAACAATCTTCGCCGCATGCACAACAACAAAACGAGTAAGTATACACGTGTTTTTACTTGGTTGGTTATTCCACGCACACACTTTCAATATTTTCTAACTACCAAAAACAACCTCTTCACCACATCCAGAACCTTCTTTTCATCATCATCAATATCCTAATTGCATTCTCACTATCGTTTCTTCTCTATCCATATCCATGGCCGAATCACCCCTAACCACCGTCCTTGTTACCGGAGCTGGTGGTCGTACAGGTACTCGCTTTACACTTCATTCTCTCGTGCCCTTTGTTCAATTCTCGTTACGATTTCGTGATAGTTGATGAGTATATTTGAGTTAGGGTTTATTGCGCCTTTAGGGTTAAGAAATTCTACAATTTTAGTCGAATTCGGGTTTATTGTTGCTTTAGAATTTCATTTTTGTTGATCAGTTTATCTGAATTGGGCTTTATTGTGCACTTAGGTTTTTTTTTTCTTTCTTCCTAGTAGTAGTGTAGTACCCTAGAAACAATGAGAATTTGTTTAAACAAAGTTTGCTACTCATAGTGCGAACAACTTGCCATGGTATATAGACAAAACTAAGTAGAAACCTAAAGGTGTTACTTGTAGAACATGTGCTTCTGTCATGGCGAATCGCAGTTGTGTTAGTGTTGCGATCTTGATATTACGGAAAGTTAGTGTAAAATTGGGTTGACGTTGCATCGATTGCGACGTAGAAAACCATAAAGTCACCGTAACAAGCTTTTGCGATTTTGGTCGGTACAGGTGTTGCAACACTAATTGCGGTTGTTGCGGTGTGAATTAGTCACAATTTACTTTTTATTATAAAAACGGTGAATAGCAGTATTAGCATTAACAACTTCCGATGTCGTTTTTGCATAACGTACCGTTATTTAAAACCTTGGTTGCAGTTGCAGACCCTTTAATTTTTAAAAGCTTGGTCAAACCGATTGCAAATCCACCAATGTTTTAGGTGACATTTCCTTACATTTGCAAGAAGTTGATTTCACAAATCAATATGTTATTTCATTATCCTAGTCACATGGCAAAATTTATTTCATTAGCTGTGCAAAATTAAGCCTCTACCTTTCGAATGTTGTTACAAATGTATGTGGAAGATTTTATTTTCAACATGGAAAAAGGCTGTGAAGATTTATATTTGATATTGTTGCAGGGTACAGTTTTGATCTATTTAGTGTTGACTGACAAATTTTAAGGAAATCTATTGTTCTGTTCTGTGCATTTCATCTTCAAAAAGAATATCGTTTTCTTAGTTTGGGCTAGTTAAAGTTGTTAGTTACGTTGACATATTAATAATGATAATGAGAGCATAATAGAATCTGAATATTATTGAATTAGTAGAGAGTATGAACTCTAATATGAATATATAGAGCAGTCCTAAAAAATGCTAATCCAGAAATAAGAAAACATATATTCTCATAATTACAGATTTTATTCTCCTAACAATGACAGATACAATATTTTTCAATAATCCTTCTCAAGCTTGTGAATGAATATTGGTCATTTCCAACTTGAAACTAACTAGGCTGAACTATTTTGTTGGCTAGTCTTTTGTTAAAACATTTGCTAGTTGATGCGTAGAAGGAATGCAGACAGCTGCTGTCAATCCACTATACTATTCAGATTTTGTTTCTGCCTTTCTTAAAAAATAAGTGGCTGTGTTGGCTATGTTTGTATGTTCAAGAATTCAGATTAATATAGTTTAGCAGATTGTTTGAATGTTTCATGCATTTTTTCTTGTTGCTGTACGATATACAAGTTACTTGTACCAGAATGAGTATTTATCTCTGTTCTCGTACAATAGATGGAATAATAGTCATGTTTTCCTTTTTATCACTCATTGAGAATTCTCAATGCGAGTTAATGGTTAACTTTTCAGGACAAATTGTGTATAAAAAATTAAAAGAGAAGCGAGACAAATATATTGCCAGAGGTCTAGTTAGAACAGAAGAAAGCAAACAGAAAATTGGTGGTGCGGATGATATTTTCATTGGGGATATCAGAGATGCTGAAAGTATTGTGCCTGCAATTCAAGGTATCGATGCTCTCATAATTCTCACTAGTGCAGTGCCACAAATGAAACCTGGGTTTGATCCAACCAAAGGTGGAAGACCTGAGTTTTATTTTGATGATGGTGCATTTCCTGAACAGGTGCTAATACTATTACATTTTTCTTATGCATGCTAAGGACACTTTTAAATATATTTTTTCTTGGCTTAAGTTGTGACCTACTTTTTCATATGATAGGTTGACTGGATTGGGCAGAAGAATCAAATAGATGCTGGTAAGTATCCACATTTTCTATCCATTAATCATAGGTGGCGTTTGGTATGCTGAGTCTCTTTTCATTTTTTGGAGTCATGTTCCCTCCTAGCATTTAATCACGCTGTGAGCATACGGTCATGATTAATCCACCAGACTTAGGTTCCTGTCTCCTTAGAAATCAAGGACACCGCTGTACAAACCTATACAACAGATCATGTTCAAGTAAGACTTTAAACAGTGTCCTTGACTTCTAAAGAGACAAGAACTTAAGTCTGATGGATGAATTATGACCGTGTGATCGTAGCGTAATTAACAACTATGATAATGCTTAAAATGTGTTTGGAATGTGTAGAATACTTCTGGGAATGTTAGACAATGCTTACTTGAAGTTTCCCATCATCTTAAGAGTCTTGGATCCCACCCCCTTTGGGAATGTTTTGCCAGAAACATAAAAAAAATTCATACTGAACAAATTCACTCATGCTTATGATATTAAAATTGTTTTATCTTTATGAACAGCTAAGGCTGCAGGAGTGAAGCATGTCGTGTTGGTCGGGTCTATGGGTGGAACAAACCCTAACCATCCTTTGAACAGTTTGGGAAATGGAAATATATTGGTGAGTCATATTTTCTCTAATACTTCTAAATTACTTCATTTCATTGCATTTTCACCTTGCTTTTTATTTGAACAGATCTTACATTTTATAATTTCATTTAGATCTTGAATAGGTAGCATTTTCCCCTTTATAATTTCATTTAGGTCTTTTGATAGAAATAATAGTTTCATATTAATTGTAGGTTTGGAAAAGAAAATCTGAACAATATCTGGCCGATTCTGGTCTTCCATACACGATCATAAGGTACACTAATTCATGTCCATGCTAAAACATATATAACTGTCTTTTCAATTTTCTTTCACAGTTCCAAATCTGGTCGGATCACCAGTGCATTGCACGGGCTAAAAATACTAATAAAAAATTGGGAATAATGCCCTTAGTAATCGAGCCAGGTAACTATTTTGAATATACTCCACAATAGTATCTTGCGCGAGTTGAAAAAACTTTTATAATACTAGTTGTCATTCTCCGGGAAAAGAAGAAAATATCTGCTGATATTTGTAGTTGTATAAAAAACATTGTTATCTTGTTTGTAGTGTTGTCAAATATCTTGTTTGTAGTGTTATCTTGTGTTTGTTTCCTTTATTATATTTTCTCATCTTCATTGATTATTCAGACCCGGTGGCTTGCTTGATAAAGATGGAGGTATTCGGGAACTCATTGTAGGGAAGGATGATGAACTTCTTCAGACCGAAACCAAAACTATACCTAGAGCTGATGTTGCAGAAGTCTGCGTTCAGGTATACTATCTTTCACAGAACTTAGGAATCAGTGATTCAATCTTAAATACTTTTGTTTTTGTGAGATTTGGTTAACAATTCTTCATTATGTTGGTTTTGATAGTCACTAAATTACGAGGAGACGAAATTCAAGGCATTCGACTTGGCATCAAAACCTGAGGATGCAGGGGAACCAACAAAGAACTTCAAGGCTTTATTTTCACAGATCACTTCTCGTTTCTGATTTTGAATGTGGTTGTCATTCATGGTGTATCTGATTATTGTCTAACAATGGATTTGAATCCAAAGTCAAAGAAAATACTTTGCATCCACAAAATTAGTTAAGATACATGGTTATAGGAATGGAATATGAGAATGTTATCAACTCTTTCAAATATAATATGGTATACTGGTTTTTATACAAAGCTTAACACTAAGACTACAATTTAGTAAAAAAAAGGCTAAATGCCTCCATATATACAAACCCAAAATGTAGATAAGTTTTTTTTTTCGCCCTCTGGGCATTAAGTTCTTCGAAATTTTACAAATATTCTTCCTGTTCTAAAATATGAATGTGCATATTTCATGCGCTTTCTGAAATACCTAAATTTACATGCTCAAATTCTAAAATCCATGTAAATTTAGTAAGAAATTGAAATGCAAGATGTTTGAATTTATATACAATACGTATATATAAACTTGAAAAGATTTACACGCCTAGACTTTAAAATCTAAACACTTAATAGTGTCAATTCCTAATTTGGATTTTAAAATCTAAACACTTAATATTGACATCCAGATACTATTCAAAGAGTAGTTTTAAAAGTTTTCTTAATATAACATGGATCAACATTTCTCTTTCCATTTGAAAACATTGTAAATTCTTTTTCAAATATCATACCTTATTCATTCAATTTTTCATTGTCAATCAATTCCCAACATTTCTCCCAAAATTTTTGTACCATTTGATTAACTTTAATCTCTTTACTCCCTTGCATTACTTCTGAATAAGGGGTTAGGGTTGGTTGTTGTAGCTGAGTGATATTTTTCGTAATTATTATCCAAAATAAAAACCATAATATGACATGATGATATGCCTTATTTTGTTGTTGTTTTGACATGATTTAATTTTGTATTGTATTGATATGACTTTGTTTTTGTTGTTGGTTCGGCAACTTCCATAATTATTAAACAAAAATCACTCATATTATCTTTCAACTATATTTTAATCCACCATGAAACTTCTATTTGTTGCGGTGTTATCAAAGTGTTTTATTTGATCAGTCCACACATAAACTATTAATCATAATTCAAATTATGTGTAACTTTGATTCGATTATTGACTAGAACATATTTAGTTTTTGATGTTTAATTTAAATCTTCTCATCTCTTGATTTGAATTGATCTTTAATCAATTGATTAAAATTAAATTGTATTAATATTTCTTTGTTTGAACATTGATCCAATCATATAATCTCTAAAAATATTTCTTTGTTTTAACTCTATTTTATAGAATAGTTTTTTTAATTTAGAAAGGTCTATTGAACCTATTTTATATCATTCTACACTAATATTCACCACTAAAATATACATCCTAAATGCATATCTAACCTCATAAATTTCAAAGATATATTCTTATCTATGGCATAATGAGTATCAAAAATCACAAGAGATAACACAACAGAACACACAAAATGAGGCCCAGTTTTCTAAGTGTAGTTTCATTGGGCATGGATTTGCAACCCGGGAGAAAGGCCCAGTTTTCCTTAGACCAATTATCCATTACGTTTAGTTTTCTTTAAATAGTAATAATTATAACAACAAACCACAATACAGTCTTATTGAATTCTAAGTCTCTTTGTTCTGAGATGGCATTATTCTCAACTAATCTCAAGGTCCTTGTCATCCATCATGACACTATTCTTCTTGATCAAATTCAAGAAATGTGTGATAGATTTCATTATCTAGTAACCAAATGCACTTCACCTTCTTATGCTTTTAATCTTCTTGCAGAAAGTAATGGTTACTTTGATATATTGTTGATTGATCTTTGTATGCCAAACATGGATTCTTATAGCTTTGTTCAATATGTAACCCTACACCACAAAATCCCTGTCATTGGTAAGCTACCGTAAAACTCTTCATTCATATTATCTATCTATACACACTTCACTGTTACTAACATCATTATTATTTATGTTTGTAGTGATTTCTTCTGATGCCACAAGAAGTTCTGTCATAAAGTCTATTGTTAATGGCGCCTGTGGTTACTGGCTTCAACCTTTACATGAAAAACAATTCAAGACTATGTGGCAACATGCTGCTAGAAAAACTTTGATGGAGAATAAAGAACATCAAGATCTTGGACTCTTGAAGGTTCGAACTGATAAAGAACCTGAAGTTCTTGGATTCTTGGAGACTCAAAGTCATCCAGAAGATGAAAATCTTGAAATCTTGAAAGCTCAAAGCCATAAAGAACACGAAGTTCTTGAAATATTGGAGGCTCCTCGACATGCAAAAAAGAGTCGGTTATCATGGACACAGCAACTGCATCAACAGTTTGTAAATGCTGTGAACCAACTTGGCTTAGATGGTATCATTCTTTTATATTTCTTTCCTTTTCTTTGTTCGTCGTATTCTTTAACAACTCAATTATACTTATGTGCATATTGTTGTTTATTTTCAGAGGCAAAACCTAGAAATATTCTCAGAATTATGGATGTTACTGATTTAACAACAGCACAAGTTGCAAGTCATTTGCAAAAGTATAGGAATTATTTGAAGAGACCGTCTTGTGGAAAAAGGTCAAAGAAAAGTCCAAGAATTGAGATTCCAGCTGAGTGTATTAATAAAACATCATTAGAATCTGAAGATGCTCACTCAATGTTACAACAAGACCAAAGTTCTCAACTGAATTCAACTCTTCATAGTCATAATATCTTTGAAACACAACAACAATCATATGATGTTACTAACTATCATCCAGTTTCTGACATTTGCTACAGTTATGAAACACAACAGCATTCAATAGATGTCGGCGATGGTCGAGTCTCCGACATTATGAGCAACGATTTTCCTGATCCATCTGACGTGCTCTTTGATTTAGATGAGTTAATATCATTATTAATTTGAAAGCATATGAATGGGATATACAAGTAGCTGCTGACTAATTCATATGAAGGCATTGAAGAAGTTCATGGATGGAAGACATATTCTGTTTTTTTTTATCATTCACATTCATGAGTCAATTTTGAACTCTTAAAGATGCAATGGTTTTTGTAATGTTAATCTGATGAACGTTAATAATTTAGTTTGGGCTTGCAATGTTAGCATGCATTCTGGTGTAATTGCTAAAGAGATGTATTATATTATGTTCATTATATATATATGCTTCTATATCAGTCTTCACTATCTCTCTCACTCTCCACCACTTGCACTCATAGTTACTCATGAATTATGCTACTTAACTTTTTAATTTTTTAAGATCAAACTAATTTTGTATTTGCTGGTTTTTCTTTTTTAATGAAATTTGTTGAGTTTTTTCTCAATAAATATAATAGTAAAGATTTTGTACGTAATATGTAAAATTAGAGGTCTTTTGGATATGTGAATATGAGATCTCGAACGAGTATAAATATAATTCTTGGAGAATATTAGCTATTTTATCTATAGATTTGATTATATATATATATATATATATATATATATATATATATATATATATATATATATATATATATATATATATATATAATTATGCTATGGTCTAGTTTGATTTATGGTTCACTCTTTAAGTACAGATAATATATGTATTTTCACTATTGAAGAACGTTGACTTTTTTACTAATAAACTCGGCCATTTATAGTTCAAATTATGTTATAGTCTAGTTTGGCAGGCGAGTCACTCTTTTAATACAAATAACATGTTTTAGCCAAATGGATTTGGGATTATTTGTGTCGGATAAGATGTTCCACTCATGACGAGTAACGTTCGATGAGTCATATTCGGTGTTGTCGGATGACGTGACAAGTTCAGGATTAATCTAGTGTTTACTTGTATTTTTGATAAACGATCACAAGTTTTAATTCACTTACAAGATTAAATTTGAAAAAATCATATGACATATTATGCAAATGACTTTAAGAAAATGTGTTCATGCTTGGAAATTACACATTTAAATGTGGGGATAATTGAATAAAAACTTCAAGGATAAAGTGCAGAATTGCTTGAATAATAAAATAATTGAAAGAAAATGACAAAAACAATTGAATAAAATGCTTAAGTTAGAAATGGAACTCAAATACAAACATTTTCTCACAAATTTTGTATATCAATAACTTGCGTGCTAGAATTCTATTGAATACAATAATGAAAAAAACGTACCTTTGTTACAGAAATTAAATCAACTTAAATACAAGAACTTCAGTAACCTTCGACAACGGTCAAATTTCTAGCATTTGACACATACACTGCTATTTGACCTTTTGAACAACTGCAAAATTTTTACTCATGTCGAAAAACATTCCCAAGTTCTTCAACTGCCTATGTCAATAATTCTTAGTCAAATCGAGTAATGTTGGTGTCAAATCATGCTCCAAGTATTTCATTTATATCTTCCTTTTCGATCTACATCTCCCAAATCTATTATTTCATTAGACTTTTCTCTTCTTTATAGGAACAACCTATTTCTGTTATACTTCCATCACCATAACAACTACTAGCAATCCAATTGAGAAATAACCAACTATTGGAAATCCAGTCGAGGAAACTGTTTTTGAGCAACCAAAAGACGTGGTTGAAGATCAAAATCTTTCACAATAGTTCATTCTAGAGAAAATTTCTTTTGATCACCAAACAACTCCAAAACCCAAGATCCTGAACAACTATCCACTAGTTCATAGGTTCATAACTCTAACCCTCTATCAGATATTCCAGGAAACATTGTTCCAATACCAGAAAGCCCAGAGCACGTTGATCAACTATAGGGAGACCAAAATTTTGTTCAAACACAAGAGGATCCATATGTTGATTGATACCAACAAAATTGAGGCCAAAATGAACCTCAGTATGTTGTTGTCGGAGAAGAACAAACACAAGTAACACATACTTCAACACTTTACCAAGTAGCCAATGATCGTCCTTTCTCGACTATAGAGACTATTGTTTAGCCTTCAATTCAAGATTCTTCATCTAACATTTCTAACACTCCACTCAGCCAAGGGGATTGAATGTTGTCAAACAGAAAAAGCTTATAGAGGCATTGAAGAGGTTCATGAGAAGTCGATGTATTTCATTTGAAAAATCTCCCAGCTCTTCAACTACTTTAGGCAATGAGCCTTCTGGTAACTTTTCTACTGTTCTTGTTCAACAACTGAAAACGAAGGTTTTCGACGTGGATTTGTTTTAGACAATCAAAGAAGACATTGTCATTGTGTATGAAATTAAGATCTTTTTCAAACAAATTAATAGTCCATATTCACCTTATTCCATTGTTCGTTTTATCCTTGAGTTTTAGCCATTTCTCGATCAAACTCAAACAACAGATTGATGCCACGTCTCAACAATAGGAATTAGTTACTATAAGAATAAGTTTGATTATACATCTACATACCTTTGAGTTTTAATGATAACAAAGTGTAGAAGAAAAATTTTAGGCACTAAATATTTTGTTATGGGTGTAGAAACTCAAAGGCTAAAATAGAATCTAAATGAAGAAAGCAAATGCGAAGTAAACCAAATTCTGATCATGAAACTTCTAATGATAAGTTTGAATTCAACTCTGATAGTTAAAGAATATAAAGAAGTCAATTATGGTAGTCAACTTAGAAGAAAGAAAAGTCTAATGGAAAGAAAACTTCAAATCAAAGCAAAGTTTGAGGCAATCCTAAATGGCGTCTACTATAAAAATTAGACTCTGAAGAAAGTTATACCATTAAAGAAGTCTAATTTGAACGTAGACAAAGTCTGAAGAAAGATGAAAGCAAATTCTAAAGAGAAGAGACACTATAAACAAAAGCAAGTAATCAAAATCATGTGTACAATAAAGTCAAGCTTCAAGATTATTAAGTCAATGTTTATGAGCAGAAACCATCTAGGCAGTCTCTGATATAAGCTCTAAATACAATTTTGTGAAAGTCCTAGAACCCAGTACTCCAAGGACTCTGAAGTCTCTCCAAGTTCTAAGGACAGCCTGTGAAATCTACTTAAGCTTCATCAAATTATATAGGAAGCATTTTACTAGGTGTTAGTAAGAAAAGGAAATGGTTCTTAAACAGTCAAAGCATTTGAAAAAACATGTAATTGCTTATGTATTTCTTGGTTAGATTTACTCTGGACTGTGATAATTTCAAGCCTCACTCTGAATAGACTTTGTAGTCTCGTCATCATGGCTCTAGACTTTGATCTAGCTTCACTTTATGTTTTATATGAATCCTATGATTATGGCGATAAGTATACTCAATGAAAGTACATCCAAACAGAGATTTCCTTATGATGATGAACTCTGATCTGTACTCAAGCTTCAATCCCATTTCATAAGGAGTAAACCTCCACTTCGTCAGTAATCCTTCATCTCTTCCATATTCTTGTCATGAATTATTGCATGTTTGATGGTTGGTTTAGCTTAAGCTAATATTTTGGAATTAGCTTACTGAAATAATCACTTATTTTGACATGAAACACATAAACTTGAAAATAGTGAATTTTTATTCCTTAACTATTAATAACATGTGAATATACCATTTGAATCGATTTTTCACGTTGATTGTGAATATATAATTGGTTTTTATGCTCTGATGTATATTTTAGCCGAAATGTCGCATTCTTTAATCAAATTGTTTGTAGATTTATTTATTGTTGCAATTTACATTATATATTTAATTTCTTTATAAAATTCTGATTACAACAATATATTAACTCGTCGAATTCGATTCTGTTAACCATTATCAAAAGCTTGTTCAAGGCTGATATTTTCTTTGCATCATGTACATTCCTATTCCTCTTCTTAGTTATTGCTATACACCATTTTGCTTAGTTAATTAGTTAATTCTTGATTGATTAATTGATTAAATACTTGAACGTTAGGAATTTACCATAGATATCCATTTAGAATTTAATCATGATGTTTTCTTCTTCTTTGGCTTTAATTCACAATTTCAGGGTAGCTTGCTTGATTTCTTCTTGGTGAATTATAGCTTGACCCATAACAATCTTGCATTATCCCCCATTTGGGTAAAATATCCTCCACTTCCACGAACATGTAGTATCATAGGATTTACCTTTCTTTATCACTTTCCTTTGCATGTTAATAGACAAGATAAAACAAAAACGATAAAAATAAACTTTTTTAAAAGAACAAAAATAACTAGATCCAACATCATTAATTTTTCTAAATCAAACTTCATTGGAAGCAATGCGAGTGTTTGATCTAACGTCAAGTATCTCTTTCATTTCAACCCACCATTTCTTAATCAACAATCATAAACCCTTGATCCAACATCAAGTGACATTGTCTCAAACAAACTCAAAACACTTTTAAATACGAATAGAAATGTGCGCCACGAGCTTTAAGTAGTGGAAAAGGAGTGAGAATGAGGCATTCCTGTAACGCCCCGACTCTGAATTCCCATTTTAATTGAGTCCTTTTGATTTAATTGGATGATTATTATTTTTGATGTGGAAATTATGTGAAAATATGTTATGTTTGCATATTGTGTTATTTTTGCCGATTTTTAGAGTTTCGGGTAAAAATAGGTTGGAGGGTATTTTGGGCATTAGTAATAATGTTAAGTTGGAATATTTTGTGAGAATTAATTTGGTAAGTGTTTGGAAAGAATTGGAGAGGAAAGAAAATAGAATATGAGATAAGAGAGAAAAAGAGAAAGATAGTAACATAGAAAGAGAAACAAGAGAAAGTAAGGAGGAGAAGAGAAAGAGAAGAGAAAAGAAGAGCAAAACCTAGAACCATCAAGAATCAACACCAAAGCTTTCGATTGATCGGGTAAGGGTGTGAAACTTTATTATTCTATCAATGTGTAGGATCATGTATGCTTTGGTTGGTTTGATTTGGATTGTTGGTGAGTTTTACTCATTTTCCATTTTAGGTCGAATTTGATTTAATCGATAGAAATCG